AAGGACCATTTTCTTAAACTGCCAGAAGATCAAACATAATGTTTTGCAATCATGTTCAAGGTACACAAGCAGCAGAGTTTGGATGGCAAAGTGACACAAGCTACTGATGGAAAGCCTGCTCTCTAATTCCTGGGGAGTTTATTTTGCCTTCCTACCTCTGATGAAGTAGCAGTACTTGAAATACGTTTTGCTTTTGGCTGAAGATACATTCCACAATGGAAGAATGTCCTTGACTTTCAACATTTCTAGGATTCATCCATGTTGTCTGACCTCTGAGAGAAAAGGCAATTTAATAAAAAATCCTCTCTGACCCTCAGATGGAAGATCACGAGTGCAGGCTCAGGACATTTATATCTGAGCGTGAGAGCTTCTTTTGCTGGGTTTTAAAGTTATATGTTGTTGATGTTCCTAAATTATACAGCTCAGTGAAGCATTCAAAAACAAATGTTCAGCCCCCCTGGGGTATGCTCAAGGCCTAAGGATAAGCTTTGATGTGGATACAAAGCCATGATGGCTGTCAGCTCCTCAGTCATTTTCCAGTGGCACCACTGTGACCAGAAAGGGAATATATATGCTATATATATGCTTTCACACAGTTTTGAGCCAGAACTTCAACTTCTGCTGCTGCAAACTGAATATGCTGCCTTTGCAATCAGAGCATCAGCATGGGTGCATGTCAGCTCAAGGATTGGCTGCTCAGAATTCAAGACAGAGGTTATATGAGCACAGTATTACACATTACAGGTTTAAAAGGGAGATTTGCCTTTTACATTTTAATGACATATTAAAATAAATTACAAACTAAAAAGTCAGAATTCTTTCATTTTTTAATGTGCGCTTTGAAGCATCAACAGGAATTTGCAGATCCTGAGGCCTTGCCCATTTTTCCCTAGTCCCCACATTAGCTGAGACCACATGAGTTAATGTCATTAGTGTCATTAGCACCTTGCCTCAAGTGAGAAATTGCTGCACTCCTAATTTGGCTAGCCTTGGCATGCCCCAGCAGGAATGCAGCAGTGTCTAGAATGGGGGCTGACAATGTGGGACATCCACATAAGGGTTGCAAAGGAGCTTAACTGGATCCCTCCAGGTAGCAGAACCAGTCTAGCATACATCTGTGGCCCATACTGTATTTTTTTTTGTTTTTCACAGAAGTGATTCATCATTTCCTAGCTACATGCCATATACATATATATATATATTTAACCACTGTGGCACCAGGTACAAAATAGCATTGCTCACCAAAATCTAGATGTGAGATCAAAATATGAGGGTCATGCTTGTGAGCCACTCATTTAAATATAAACATTCTTGTCTTTCAAGAAAATACTATCTTGCCTTTCAATTCTTCCCAAGCCCTCCTTATGTATGAACTGAATTTCAAATTTGAAATTGATTGCAGGTGTCTTAAGTATATTTTTCTAGGCCTACAATTTAAACAAGTTACAGCAATACTCACCTTCATACAGTTTTTGATCATTATGATATGAATTCTCACTGACAGCAATAAAGACCATGGGGACCTTTCCTCATTTCCAGAACCAGATTTTTTTAATTTGGATCCTATTTTAGACTGTCAGAAGGGCTGTTTTCTGAGGAGAATCATTCACTTGATGATCCCTATTACAGCTGCCTACCACATGTCCAGCAGCAGTGTTGGCATTTTTCATTTTCCCCCCCTTTCAGCCTCAGCACTGGAACCCATTACACAGCTGGCATCTCATAAGTGCTGTGTTACTTTGACCCTTGCTTCAAAAAATGATCTGTAATAGCAAGGTGGCTATTAATAACTAATAGCAGGAATGCACAGAGAGCTGACAGCAAGGAGGATGGCGGCCCTGAGAGATGACCACTCAGTTTCTTACTCTGCACAGATTGTAATCTCTGGCAAATACCATCCTTGTGCCCTGGGTCCACATCTGTAAAATGAGATACAATGATAAATAAGTAGAATCAAATAACTGGATGATCAACTATGGCAATAACCACAAATTTGTAATTACCTGGGATAAAAGATGCAAATCCCTCTGGATCACAATCACATCTTGCTCTTGGAGGTAATGGGGGTCAGGTGTGCTCTATGGAATGGAAACCTCTGAATAATAGACTGATCACTGAAGAGATTAGCAGCTGATTAGACCTGCTTTTAGCAGATGTTGGATGAGATGAACTCAAAAGGTCCCTTCCATCCCAAATTACCCCTGTGACTCTGTTCTAATGCTGCACCTCTGCAAACACATCCCCTGGGACCACTGGGTACCAGAGTGCACATGGACAAAGCAGTGCTGCAGGACACAGCCTGCCTCCATCAGGGACTGATCAGGCCATGGACTGAACCAATTCAGGGCAGACTGATGCCTCCACCAAAAGCACTTTTGTTCTTGTGGCCCCAGCTCATCCTAGAAAGAGTTTAGGTGGCCTTAACTGGGCCTCCATGGAGCCAAGCAATGGCAGGTTCATCTCAGATTAGCTACCTAAAGGTAATGAAGGTTTACCATGTAGGGGAATATGCTCTCTAGTTCCCATTTACCTGCCATTTCATTTTACATCACCATCGCATCAGTATTTCAGTCCTTCTTGCTCAGCCTTTACATGAGATAGCAAATTTAAGCCTTGTGGTTCCTATGGACTCTCTATGTGGCATCTCTCATGAAGTTATAAAGTGTGGGCTTTGTAAAAGCCCTGCACACTGACATTGGAAATAATAGCTACTGGGATATATATATATTTAAAAATATATAAATATATACTTGGGTGTTTTTAAAAGCAGTGAGTAAAATGAGACAATTTTCAAAGTCTGATCAGTGCTCCCAGCCTGCAGGCAGCACAGCCCAACTCATCTCTTGGCTGGAAAGATAAATGAGAAACATAGGACACTAATTTATATAGAAGGATCTACACTCCTTGGAGAGAAAGAAAAGAAAGAAAAAATATTCTCATGTTTTTGATGTGGTTGACCATGACACAGACTTCACCCTACAAGTCTTGTACTTTTCTGTCTGTGTTACAATTCCTGGGGCCCTGGCCAGGCTTCCATGGTCACATTCACAGTTGCAGCTGTAACTGTGACTCTTCTGTTGGGAACTGTTTTCTTAACTCTGCATGGACATCTGTGAATGCACACACAATAATATCCAGTAAGGCAAATGACATTTGCAGTGACCAGCTGCCTCCAGTTGAGAGGCAACATTGCACAGGGCCACTGTAGAATGAAGCACCCAGAGGCTTGCAGTGCTTACACAGTTGTGGTGGGGCTGAACTGGGCTGGGGATAAATGAAATCATCCAGTCCTGGGGGCTGCAAGTGCACTGCCCAATGGCTTGTTGCTTCCTCAGTCAAAAGCCAAATCCCTGGGGCAGAAACCAAGTCATGCCTGGGAGTAATTAAATGGCACTCAAATTAGTACTGTGGTTTAGATGTCCCTACTGAATTGAATTCAGTTCAGCCCTCAGAAGTTAGGTATATATTCTGCTTGTCTCAAAACACTTCAGAGAGCAGCAGGTCCCAGGTCCCAGGCAGTTTTTGAAGTTTAGCCTCTGGTAGTTACGGACAGAAAGCTGGAGAGGATCCCGATACGCCCCACTCGCGGGACTGCTGCGTGCAGCCTGGGCGTGTGCGAGCAGGCTCCGTGCCAAGCCTTGCTCCTACACACCAGGTCACAGGGCCTCCAACATCATGAAACAGGACTGAAAGTCAAAAATGCCAGCTATTTTCTAAAAATAGAGTAGATGAGCTGGGACAGAGGGAGAAGACGCATCCTCGCCGATGGTTTAGCAGTGGGGGAAGAGATCCAGTGTGGCAGCTGACAACAGCTCACCCCAGCATAGCTGAGCAATAGAGCAATAGATTTCAAACATGAATTTAAATTTAAAATTAAAAAAAGCCCAGCAAATATTTTGAAATTCAAGATCTATGGTTTGATAGTGCCTCGTATTTTGAAACTGTTAGTGGAGAAAGGAAAAGTGAAAACAACAGGAAGAGCTGAAAGGAGCCAAAATTAATTTACTGAGGGCTTATTGTTTCAGTTTTCAACAAAGGAAATGGATATAAATGGAAACTAAATTGAAACTGAGGTCTCTCTCATTCAACAAAATATATCACTGCTACTAGTCAGCAGAAAGACAATTCAATTACTTATAAACAACTTTGAAGTTATAGTTGTGTTTTAGTGTCGTAATAAAGCTGAAAAAAAATCCAAAACAATGAAAGCTGAACTTAAGTCTTCAGGTTCAAGAAAAACATTGATAACACACATACAAAATGTGTAGGGAATTTTTTCAAGTTCATTATTCACATAAGAGAATAAAAAAAGAGATCATTTGATCATTCTTCATTAAAAACTATTATTTCCTTAAGCTAGAAATGCTCGTTAAAAGTTTTGAGGGCTTTTTTGTTTGTTACTTTTATCTTTACATTTCACAAAGCCATGAAAATTGAATTTACAATATTTTAAAGTTTGATTCTGGACTGTAAGCTTCTTTCTCTTTTTTTCCTCTTTTGAAACTGAATACAATGGAATGAATGAGAATTTTGATTTCCTTTCTTATCTTTGCTGCTGCTTTTTTTCATCTTCTCCATAAAACCCCTGTCCTTAGTGCCTGAGAATTATATGACTATGTTTAAACTATTGTCTTTAGTCTTGAAGATGTAATTTGAAAATGGAACAGGGAATATTCTTCCTGGAAACCCTGCATTTACCTATTTTCAGTTACAATATCTTTTTACTTTTCTTATTTGTCTCACTAGTTGCTCCACCGAGGACTTTTTGCAAAAGCTGTGCTTGGTTTTATGAAACTTAGTAAGTTTAATAGAGAAAAGTGAAGAAATAGAGGGGAAAAAGTAGTAAACAAATCTTTTGTTTGAAACCACTGGAAACAACTCATTTTGCTTTCAGGTAATTAATTGAATTTATGATATCCAAAATGCTAAACTTCAGTATGGGTTACATTTCCTGGCTGGGGTACAGAGAGATTCTCAGAAAATCAAGGTTTGAAACAGAAAGCCAGCAGCAGCCTCGTCTGGAACACCAGGAACCTCGGCAGAGGGGACAGAGCTTGAGAGCGCTGCCACTTGGGACCCACGAGCTGAAATAGAGAAGGCTGTCATCTTTGCTTTATTTTGAAAGGACGTGAACAAACGAGAAGGCAGAAGCAGCCCTGTGCTTGGCTGTGGCTGTGCGAGCAGCCCTGCTCCCGTGCCCCGGCGCGGAGCGCACATGCCACAGCTCCTCTCTTATGTTACTGCTCAAGTATGCACCCAGCACAGAGCCAGCAGATACTGCAGGAGATTTATTCTAGCTCTTGAGGTCAAGGACTCCTCTGCTTTGGATTCAGCAGAGAGGGAACTCTTTCCTCGTAGCACCAGACAGGCTTTCTGCTTTGCAGCCTCCTGTCAGTGCGCGCCGCAGATAAAGAAACATCTGAGAGCGTTTTTAAAGGGTTTATCCATCCAAAGCACTGCTGAGCTATGTGCTGTCTCCAGTGTCAGAGTTAGGACGCTTTCAACAAGGGACAATATTTGCACAAAGTGCAAGCCAGAGGCTCCAGCTGCTGCAAACTTTTGCAAGCCATGTAAGTAAAGGGCTTTATTTTGCTGAAACAAAGTTTGTATGTTCTCTTCCCTCATAAAAAACACTGAGATAATATAAATTTTAGATGAATTTCCTAATACTAGAAATGTTGCTATCCTGCTGTCTCTTTGAATAATGCATGTATGTCAGCACAATAATGAAATATCTTACCTTGTTTTGCTTGTGAGTCTTGTAAGGAGCAGAATCTGTAGCCCCTCAGGCAGGCTCTGTTTGCTTTTCTGATCGCTTCTTCATTCTGTTTCTGAATCATTCCTGATCTCTGTTTGTGATCAGCACAGAGACCTTTCAGATTTCTCTGATTTCTTTTGTTTCAAGGACAATGAGAAGCTGACAGGGAAACGAAAAGGCTGTGAAAACAAAGACCATAAAAGTAGTTTATAAAGTGTTGTCAGTGAACCCAAAAGTGGTGTGTAACCCTCATGTTGAACTTGTGGTCTTGTGAAATTTTAAGTGCTTTATAGCGAGGTTCAAGGAGTCACAGACTGTGTGACTAAGAGGAACATTAAGTAACAGAAGAAATATTTTGATTGCTTTATAAAATGTAACTTTATGTTCATGCTCATATTTAACTTTGTTGCTTTCTCTGTGGCTATCTGGAGCTTATGGCAAGGGATGGATCACCTTTCTCTGAGCTTCACAATGTAACCTAAAGTCATGAAATATTTCCTTGCTTCTTGTAGCTTCTATGTAGTTCCTATACTTTTTGATGTCAATAGGCCTGGCAGAGAGCTGTTGAAATGCCAAATTTCTCTTCTTCTCTGTGAAGTCCTCCCTGCCATTTTGATTGCTGCCAAAATGTAGACATGGTGATAAACAAATGGAAGCTACATTAGATTCACTGACTAGGTACAGGTGATAGTACCCTGAGACAGAAATTTCACTGAGATTTCTCAGTGTCTTCCTGTTCAGAGAGTCTCTAGTTCCCTTGTATTCCTTATCCAGAAAGCATCTGATCCCTGTGGTTTTGCACATTCTATTTGGCTCACACATTTTCCCAGTTCCCAATAACATTTAATAGGCCCTTTCCTCCAGGACCACATGCCTGAGAGGTGCAAACCCTGCCCCCCAACCCTCCCAGTGCAAACCCTTCCCTCCAGCCCTTCAACCCTGTCACATACCCACGGTACCCAGCCCAACTGGATTTATTGCAGATATGCCACCCCAATCACCTCTTGCATCAGGTGCTCAGAGGAACAGGGATGCTGCCCTAAAGAAACACCTGTACCACGTCTCCCAGCCCTCCCCTCGCCCTTCATTTCCATGGCATTTCCAGGGAGAGGGGTAATGCCCATTAGGGAGATGTCCACGAGTCTGTGAAGGCCACGGGCAGCCTCTCCCTGCTGTCAGCCCGGCACTCTGAATGCCAGAGCAGCAAGGGAATGAACAGACCTGCTGGGCTGGGAGATGCAGCTTGCTGCTCCCAGGAATGCCGGGGAGCCACTTCCCTAAGGGAAAGGCTCTGCAGAAAGAACATTTTCAGGGTAATGAAGATCACACCTTGAAGGTGCACTGGCAGGAGCAAGTCAGAGGTGAATAGAGTGAAAGTCAAACTTCTCTGACAATGGAAGAAGATGTTGCTTTTCAAGAGTGTTTGGAGAATGAGAAAATGTTTAATTTTCAGCACAGAGATGGGTAGGAGCTGTTTTCTTTGCAAGACAAAACTCTCTTATACCTAGCTGGTGCAACCACACTCCAGGAAGAAAACAGCAGTTTATATTACAGTTTTTGAATTTATGTATATTCATGTGTTCTCTTAGCAAATGCATCTTTTGAGTTCTAAAGCTTTCTGAACCTTTCATATAGTCCTTTGCTTTGAAGCAACAGATGTCAGCAAGAAGCAGATGGTTCCAGCTTTGAATTTGAACATCTTTAAATACTTTGTGTATATTTTATAATCAGGAATGCACTCTATCTTATTATGCAGAACTGATGCACTAAATGAAAAATATCCATGTCTGGATACTTGATGTCGCTTCCTAGCTCACAAACCAATAAATAATAAACCACATATTTTTCAGGATTATTTGTTATGAGATATTTTCATCTAATTATTCAGCTTGTGTTTTCAAGCTTGAAACAAACTGTGAAATGCTCTAATCTGATGTGAGCTCAAAGAGAACAAGCAACAAAAAGAGCGAAAGGAACTGCCCCAGTTGTGAATTGCATTTTCATTCTGCTGCATTCTGTGAGCAGGCTGAAGGTTCCTCTTGCACCGTTTCCCAGAGGAAATAATGCAGTGCCTATGGAAACAACTGAACAAAATCTTTTGATCTTTCTTACTCTAAACTTCCATTTTCAGGCAGTACAGCTATGAAATTTGATGAGTCTAAGAACATAAGAATCTAAGAACATAAGATCTTAAATCAGGAATGAATTTGGGAATGTAAATAGAAAGAAGATATCTGAAATAAGAAAATAACTCATTTTCTTTCAAAGAAAAGAAATCATACAAACAGATTTTATCCAAATGGTTTGCTATTGGATCTTAATTTACTGCTCTAAAAGTTCTTTTCTCCCTCTCTGCCTGATTATCAGTCCTGAAGAGTTTGTTTTTTAGAGAAATCACCTGAGACAACCTGTGACATGCAAACTGTTTAAACTTTACTTAGTTGATCTTAAGAATGGGTTATTGCACATATTGTCAAAGGCTTTATTAGCTGTAATGACAAAATAGATGTTATCAGTGCTTATACCTAGTGCACCAGCCTGGCTTGGAAAAAGAGAAATGCCTCATTTCAAACAAGCTTTGGAGCTTTTGCCTCCCTCTCTGAGAAGGAATGGAACTGTTGAAGGGTTCCTGGTGCTGAGGGGGTGCTAGAAGGTCTCAGTGGTGATGCAGGACATGCTCTTTCCCTCTCTTTTTTCCCTCTTTCTCCAATTCTTCTTGAAACCTTTTCCTTTCTCCCTCTTTCAGGATGCAGAATGTCCTAATGCCAGGCACTTCCACAATGCAGGTTTTCCTCAAATCGGCCTCTCCTTACTCCACAGCACCTTGGCTGCTGTCCAGGCTCTGTGGAGCAGAGAAGGTTTGGGATGGAGAGAGGGCCTGATGGGGGCAGAGTGCCCAGCACAGCTGGTAAAACCAGTTGTTCAGTGGCTAATCCCCATCTCTGCAGGCACAAGTGAAGTCACCCACACGTGAGCAAAGCAGGAAGGCTTTTGACCCTTGAAATCTGATGTCCAAGGCTAAGGGATGTTTTAATTACTGCCTTGCACTTCATTACTGCCTAATATTATGCATTTCCTGGTGGTTTCCTGACCCAGACATCTTCTGGGACAGGTCATTACCCAAAACAACAGAAGACTGACAAATCCAGTAGCTTGACAAAAGAGTACATTTCCTCCAGGTCCACTTTGAAAGTTATAAGACCTCTTTTCTGTCCAATACTGTAGAGTTTAAATTAAAAAAAAAAAAAAAGAGAAAAAAGAAAATTATTGAGGTGCTCTATTTTAGTATATTATTTGACAATATCAGGTTTTCAGGTTTAGGAATCTACATACAAATGAAAAGAAGTTGTGAAAGCTTCTGATTGATGGACTGTCTTTCTTTCTGACAATTCTAATTATTTAAGGATTGGAAATGTTAAAATACTTGAAAAAACAGAGGCAGTATTTTGCTACTTGACAGCAACATAACTCAGAGAGTGGCTCTCCCAAATAAATCCTTGCAATATAAAGAGGTTACAACCTGATGTGTGATGGACTTAGACTTCTCTGGTGTCTATCTCAAGCTGTTTTTCTCTTTGTGAAGCCCTTCTATCCCTCAGTGCTCTGGTACAACACTTCAGCACATACATATTTATTTTGCCAACCACCTCTCAGGCTTACAGACCTGGGGCATGACTCAGTGACTGTAGAACTGAGATCTTACTAAAAGTCTGTGAAGAGGTAATAAACTGAAGGTAGCTTTCCTGAATTCTGGAAATATGTGTCCATCCATGGCCACCCACAGATAAACAGGTTCTTTGTAAATAAGGAGAGAAAACAGCTTTTAATCCTTTCCATGGTGCTGTGTGCCTGCAGCTTTGCCATAGGTTCAGAGGTAAAGAAAAAATCTCCAAACCTGCTAGAAAGTTCTCAATCTGGGTGTTGTACCAGACAATCAGCAAAAATGACCACAAGGGACCACAAGTAGCAAAATTTCCCCAGATGAGCAGTGTGGAGAGCTGAGAGCAGTGACCAGTACTGTGTGCCTGTAGTGGGAAAGCCCTTGGAAGGGCAGGAAGCAGAGCGGTGACATTCCAGAGTGCAGATGGAAAGCAGGTCTGGAAGCTGCTCTGAGCGAGCTGCTGCAATGGAGGGGTGCAATGGGAACATGGACTCTTTGCTGTGGATTTGCAGGAACAAATACAACAAAATCCTTTGGTGTCAACTGATGATTGCTCATGCAACTTTTTTTTGAGTGACTGCCCATTTCTGAACTGCAGTGAACTTCACATAAGTAACTTAGTGAAGTAAGCAGTGAAGTAACTTATAAACTTGATATCTTAAATGTAGCTGGGGAAAAGAGTGAAGGAGAAAGGGGGAAGGGGAGGGAAATCTGCTAGCATTGATATTCCAGAGAGAATTCTGTTTTATTTGTAAGGTTTCCTCTGTGGCTTTCAAGTTATTTCCTGAAATCTGCAATTACATTCATGCAAGATCTGCATCCAGCTTTTTCTAAAACAATGCTGAAGCAGAACAAGTGATAAGTAAACCAATTTTTTCATTGAATGTCACCTCTGTTTTTGTTTATCAGCTGATGCTCTTGCAAGTAGTTTCTGCCTTGAGGGGCTGTTGATAGATGGTTCCCTGAGACAGCTCAGTATCTCAGCTACCTTGTCCCTGTGAAGTCCTTTTAAAACACTGAGAAAAATTTCAGTGTTCACCACAAATTGATTTTGGAACTTCTTGGTAGTTCAGATCCTTGACAGCACTGAAGGTATGTGGTGGAGCATGTGGGAAAAGGTGTAGGGAGTCAAAAGAAAGTATTGAGACTGT